CAGCGCGCGAATTTTAAATGAGAATTTCCGAAAACTTTTCGGTCACAATGTATGGAACTTCTTGTGCACCGTTCTTGGCAAAAAGAGCTCTACTAGAAGTTGCTTATGATTGTGCAGATAAAAACTCAAAGTTATATCAGGTAATAAAAAATGATTTCTATATGGACGATTTGATGACAGGTGCGGACTCCATAAAAGAATGTGTAAACATTCAATTTGAAATCAGTCGGCAGCTAGAAAAGTTTGGATTTCATTTGCGAAAATGGATGGCAAACGAAAAGCGAATTTTAGGTGAAATTTCGGACTCTGGAAACAGTTATATTATTAAAGTAGAAGACGGAGAAGCTGTTAAGACGCTCGGTATACAATGGGTGCCGAAATCAGACAATTTTACCTTTTACATCGAGTCAGTAGATAGTACTAACATAACTAAACGCAAAGCACTGTCTATATTGGCTCGAATCTATGATCCACTTGGATGGTTGACACAAACAACAACAATGGCGAAATTATTTATACAAAAATTATGGCTTATGAACTTGACGTGGGATACGAAGTTAGACGTTAAATTATCTCACGGATGAAATGCGATTGTTTCAAGGATTTCGACTATTAAAGATATAAAAATTCCTAGATGGATATCAACTTTAGCTGACACAAGTTTAGAGCTTCATGGATTTGCGGACGCTTCAGAGAAGGCTTATGCAGCAGTAGTTTATGCTAAAACTTCTAATGCTATTACTATGCTAACAGCAAAGTCTAAAGTAAATCCGATAAAAAACAAAAAGACATTACCCAAGCTGGAGTTATGTGGAGCTCATCTGTTAGAAAAACTTATGAAAAGCATTAAGGAAGTTATAAACAGAGAAGTCAAAATATATGCTTGGAGCGATTCAACAATAGCATTATCATGGATCAAGAACGAAAATAAAACTAAAGATAAATTTATTGGGACTCGTGTAAGAGAAATCAAGCAATGCATGCCTTCGGCAACGTGGAATCATGTCAGGTCAGAAGACAATCCAGCGGATGTGGCTTCAAGGGGCTTGAAACCAGAAAAACTTGCAGCACATAGTTTATGGTGGAATGGTCCTACATGGTTAAAAGATGAATCAAACTGGCCAACAGCAACTGAATCTGTTCTTTGTGCAACAAATAATATAAACTCTTCACAGAACATAATCAACGATATAATAGATCGGTATTCCAATTATAGGAAATTATTATACGTCATTGCATATATAAGCAGATTCATCAGAAAGCTAAAAAAGGAGAAGTTTCCTGTGTGGTTGACAGTAGAAGAATTAAGGGAGGCAGAAAATATTATAATACGGCATACTCAACATTTATATTTCACAAAAGAAATCAATTTGATCAAAAACAGAAGAGAACTTCCATCTGGTTATAAAATTTGTAGTCTTTACCCGTTTCTGGATAAAAATGAAACACTGCGAGTCGGAGGCCGGTTAGAAAATTCTCCATTCTCTTTTGCTACAAAACATCCAATACTATTACCAAAATGTCACTTAACGATGCTAATAGTTGATGATTATCATAAAACTACACTACATGGCGGTATAAAACTAATGGAAAATATGTTGAGGCGGCAATATTGGATAATTAATGCTAGAAATATTATTAAAAGGTATGTTCGAAGCTGTGTTAGATGTATACGATATAGCGCTACACAGTTAATGGGGAACCTACCGGAAAGCAGAGTGTCAATATCGAAGCCATTTGAGCATGCAGGAATAGATTATGCAGACCCCGTACAAATGAGAGTATCAAAAGGAAGAGGTCAGAAATCATATAAAGGTTATATAGCCGTTTTCATTTGTATGGCTACGAAAGCAATCCATTTAGAAGCTGTAAGTGACCTGTCAACAGATGCGTTTCTGGCTGCCCTTAGAAGATTTTTCGGTAGAAGAGGCAAAAGTTCGCATTTATATTCAGATAATGATACAAATTTTGTCGGTGCTGCTAAGAAAATAGATGATGAATATGAAAAAACTATTAGAAAACTTTCATCACTTGCTGGGACGATGGCAGCGGAAAAAATTACATGGCATTTTATTCCCCCTTTGGAGGAATCTGGGAGGCTGCAGTCAAGTCGATGAAACATCATTTAAGACGAGTCATTGGTGAAGTGAAATTAACTTATGAAGAAATGTCGACACTGTTAATTCAAGTGGAAGCAGTGTTAAATTCTAGACCGTTATGTAAAGTACGAGATGATACAGAGAATACTGATGTTTTAACTCCCGGCCATTTCCTAGTTGGAAGACCTTTAATTGATATTCCAGAGGAAAGTTGTTCAAAATCAATTGATTCTCTTAATCGGTGGAAAATAATTCAGAAAATAAAAGGTGATTTCTGGAATAAATGGAAATATGAATATCTTGCAAGTCTTCAACATCGTCGCAAGTGGAAGCATTCTGGCCCAAATATAAAAGAGGATCAGGTAGTTCTTATCAAAGATGAAAACACATCACCAGCTAGATGGCCTTTGGGTAAAATTATTGAAACACATAATGGTACGGATGACAAAACTCGAGTTGTTACAGTTAAGATGCAAGATGCCATTGTAAAAAGACCGGTAATAAAAAATATGTCCTTTAGATGTTTATCATGATCCAGATATCGGTTCTAAGTTAAAGGGAGCATCTAAGAAACCAGAAATGAACATCTCCAAAGTATTTCTAGCAATGTTCTTGTTAGTGTTTGGTCAAGTAGCAGCGGTACAAAACACAACAAAAACAATAATATCTCCATTTAATGAAGGAACAACGGTTTATTTAGATCACTTAGGTAAAATGGATGTTACATCTTCAAAATGGAACATGGTGGTCTATTACGATTTAACGACATATATAGCATCAGTTTCGCAGCTAACAGATTTAATTGAGCGTAGTTGGCAGATATGTGGTAGACTTGGAGAGTTTAGATATCATTGTGAAGAAACTCTGATAAGAATGAAACATAAAATTGCCGAAGTAAAATCCAATAATAAGTTATTTGGCTTAAAAGACAATAATCGTATCAAGAGATCTTTAAATGCTGTTGGTTCCATATACCACCTACTGTTTGGATTAATGGACAATGACGATCGTGAAGAATTAGAACACGACATGAGAAATCTTTTAAGCAATCAATTCAAGATTGAAAACCTGCTTCGCAATCAAACCTCATTGGTTAATGCTACGATAAATGTTTTACAGAAAACTACCAACGAAGTAAACGAAGGTTATAAGCAAATTCAGGAAAAGGTTGACAACATGATCGAGATCACAAATGAACAATATTTTATCTATAAAGAGTTCATTAAATTTATGGCAGTCGCAAATCAAATGGAGGCTCAACTACAAGAAATAGAAAAGATTCAATTTCAAGTGCTAAGGCTACTAATAGATGTTAATCATGGAAAAATTAGTTCAGTTCTGTTAAGACCGGAACAACTTAGCTTGGAAATTGCAAAAATAAAAGCATGGCTACCAGAGAAGATGCAATTACCTGGTGATACATCCAATCAAATTGCCACAATTATCCGTCTTCTAACAGGAGAGGCAATAATTGTGAACAGCAAGCTAGTTATCAAAATACAAATTCCTCTGATTACAATAAAATTTTCCAACATTTTTAAGGTAGATCCAGTTCCGGTCAAACATGGCGATACGAACGTAGTGGCGTCCATAGCTCAACCTTACCTAGTCTACAGTCACGAGAGTGATGTTTACCATTTAACGTCTGAATTGGAGTGGCGTCAATGTAAAACCATATCTGACCGACAATATCTATGTGAAGAGACTTGGGCATGGCAAGATGCAAACGATAACTCCTGCGAAGTATCTCCTTTGAAACCACATAAGAAGATTGTATGCCAGTTTGTAGAGGCCAGTAACAAACATATGTGGGTAAATCTAAATAATCGTCGGCAATGGATTTTTAGGGCATCATTAAACGCTACTTTACACGTATTTTGTGACCAGAAGCATCAAGACCTGTTTTCACTTCCACAGCAGGGTCTGTTGATACTGCAATCAGGGTGCTCTGGCCAAATTGGAAAGACGCAAATACCAGCAAGCAATCATAACAATGTATCAACTCAAGGGGATTTTGGTATACAATTGATAAAACATATGCAAGATACATCAGCTGATCTATTGAAGCCATTAAATTCACACTTAATCGATCATAAAGAAGAATTCATTAAGATTAAGCAACAGATTCACCGCATCCAAGCAGAAGATTGGACCCTGAAAGGTTTACACTTCCATCACGCAACTGGACACATATCATTAAGTATTTTATGTATATTTATCATGATTATCCTAGTTTACTTTATAAGAAAATGTTTGTTAAAGGGGAAGGCGAATGTGATTATTATTCGTCGACCACAAGAAACCTAGTACTAAAATATTTTATTACACTTTGGCGGGCCGCAGAATGTTCAAATTTAAATAAATTTTCTCAACATTCTTATCTTAAGGAAAACTCTGCGGCCTTTACTATTTAGCTATTTTTTATTTAGGCATGATAAAATTGGTTTTTTTAATGTATTTAGGATAAGAAATCCGTGCACATTAGCAGTGGTGGTTGTTTAAATTGCTTATCATTCATGTAAGCAAAATACCACCAACGCACAAGAAGATAACAATTACTTGATTATTTAGGATAGAGTATTTTCTTTTCTGCTCAAATTGCTTATTTATACATGCTCAAATTACTTGTATATTTAGGATAGAATATTTTCTTTGTTTATTTTATGATCAAATATTTTGTATCTTTAATTTGAGAGATAAACCAATATCATGCATTTAGTGATAAGGATAGATTTTAAGTTACTATATAAGCAGTTCATTTTTAAAAATAAATTCAGTGTCTTACAAACATTCAATGAGTATTAAATTTTTACTACGGGATAAATTTTTAATAAGGTCCTTGCCGCCATGATTCCTTGATATGATTAGCGCTTTAATATTCCTTAAATTATAAACTATATTCTCTTATTATTGTCTTGACTTTTGAGATTGACCAACCAGGTCCCTGCCCGGGCGGCAATTGTAACGACACACTTTCTGTCGCTGATGATGCTGAGATATACTCAGCCGTCGTCCAGGGGTCGTTGCAATAGAATTTTTATTTTAGAAGTCAAAGACAATGTGATATAGTAATTCAATTATTTTTTTAGGAAAATTTAAAATAAAATAAGGTTTTACAATCTAATATAATTATAATATAATGCTGGTTTGCTAATTTGATGACTACGATTATTTGGAATAATTGTGCTTCGATGATTGTTCCGATTGTTGTTTCCACGTCCCTGAAATGTTGCTGTCAGACGACACTACTCGTGCTAATCTTGGTGTTTTGTCAGAAGACATCGTTAACTAGAGATTAGAAGTGTTATGTTGGGTTACAGCCTTGGTTAGCATTCATTAATGTTAGGACGTATTACTACCCTAACTCAAATCTACAGAAAATCCTACTAGTCGAGATGTATCATGACTACCTTGGCTTTATTTACATATAAGACTACATATACAATCTACTCATCAAGACGTATGTACTACCTTGACGCTATACAAGACTAGTAGTCAAAACGTATGTACTACCTTGACGCTATAGTTCTACTGACTTGTTTCACGAAGACGCATTAATACCTTTGAGAGTTTCCCAACAAGTGCCCTTGCTTGTACAATGCGCGTTTATTTATACTCAACCGACCGAAGCTTTTCCTGTAGCGCATCGGTACATTTGACGTTGGTATTTTTGATACTTGTTGTCTTTTGATACTATTGTTTGCCTGGGTGTAACTTCTGTGGTTTGTGTTTTCGTGCATTCTTGAATTCGCCGTGCTTTGTATTTAGTTCAACCAAAGCTTTCATGCTTTGACGTTTCTTCTCTTGTTTACAAACGTGTTTTTTTTATATAGTGCCGGTGTTTGTGGTTTGTTATTTATATTTATTTATTAATAAATAATAAAAAAAATTAATAAAACAAAAAATAAATAAATATATTAATAGTGAATGAATAAGGTGTGTATATTTTTCACTTATTTAAATACTTTTTTTTGTTAATTGCAATAGTAATTTCAGATGTATTCCGTGTGTCACCGATGCAGATGCGGGGTATTACTTGTGAGTTATTTTAATATAATATAATATATATTAAATAAAATCAATCTATTTTATTTTAGATCGTATTGAAAATTCTTAAAGTGAGTGAAATTATGTTATATGTTGCGTGTTAAACATAGTGTATTGTAATGTGTAACTAAAATGTCTTTTGAAGTTACAAGTATCGTGTTGGTGTTGTTGCTTGCTTGTTGTTATATTGAAACTATGTAGGATGTAAATATATGAATATTTCCTTCCATACAGAAGAACGCGAAACAGTGGTGATGGAAGTTGAAGCGATATTAAAATTACGACCATTGACTTCAATGTCCAATGATTCAACTGATTTGACAGCAATAACTCCAGGACACTTATTAATTGGAAAAGCTCTTACAGCTCAAGTAGATAGGCGGTCAAAACCAGAAAAACATACGTTATTGTCACGTTGGAACAAAGTTTTCCAGTTAAAACATAATTTCTGGAAATTTTGGTCTAACCATTATTTGATGGAACTATATAACAAATGGAAAACACAATCTAAATACATACAATTAGGAGACATTGTTAAAATCAAAGAAGACAACGTCCAAATGATGCAGTGGCTCTAGTGGTGAATTGTACATGTGTACGAGGGTTGTATGGACGGAAATTTTTAAACCAAATTTTCGCGTGCATAAATATACACCGAAATTCATTAATATTTATTTTCACTACCACTAAATTCACGAATATTTATGTTTTGTTTGTAATACGAGTGTTTTGTTTGAGTTATCTTGATCAACTAACTTTATTATTTTACATTATACAATATTTACTTAAACTACTTACAGGCTAGAGTTTCCAACTTTATATAGTTAAAATAATTATTAATATTGTTGAATATGACATCTCGCCCCTTAAAATTGTAATATATTCGAAATATATGTTCTATGTATAAGGTTTAAAGGTATGTATATTACATATTATTCAAATAATATATTCATAATATATACAGCAAATATATATTATATTCATAATATATATTTGCTGTTGTTTTCTGCTGACGTTGATGAACGGTGTTTTATTTGATTTTGATGACGTCTCACGTAACCGTTGGACGTTTTCACAATATAAACCATGCATCCTAAGTTTTTAATAATGACTGCTTCTACCCACTTCGGACCTCGACCATAATGTTTAATATACACGGTTTCGTTAGGCGAAAATTTAGTTGAACGAGTGACGGGTTTATTGTTGTTTGGTGGTGCTGATAACAGTGTAAGCACGGTACGTGGCGCACGCCCATGTAACAATTCTGCCGGTGACTTCCCTTTGGCATTAGGAATAGCTCGGTATGTCGCTAGATACTTTACCAAAGTCAATTTAATCGATAACCCATCATCAATATTCTTTTGAACGGATGATTTGAATGTACGTACGAACCTTTCCGCGAGCCCATTTGATGCTGGGTGAAATGGTGCTGTTTTAACATGACTTATGCCATTACGAGCACAATATTCAGCGGACTGGTCGGAAGTTAGCTGAGGTCCATTGTCACTAACTATAGTTTCAGGTAGTCCTTCTAATGAAAAAACTGCTGACAAAGCTGCTATGGTGTCAATAGTGGTGATAGTTTTAAGCTGTACCACAAATGGAAACTGTGAGAAAGCGTCAACTACTATTAGCCACATAGACTGGAACACTGGGCCAGCAAAATCTATGTGTACTCGTTGCCATGGTCGTTCTGGCTTTGGCCACTCGTGGTATTTTTGTTTCGGACTTGAACCCGCAATTTGACAAACACTGCATTGTGAAGCAAGTTTTTCGATGTCGTTGTCAATATTAGGCCACCAGCAGTGTTGCCTAGCGAGTTGCTTCATCTTAACGATGCCCCAATGGCCGTCATGGAGAAGCTTTAAAACTGACTGATGCAAGGATTGAGGTACAATGACTCGAGTAGCATCTGTCTGTAAATAAATCAAATCATCTCGAATGAAAAGAGCATACTTACGACGAAAATAAGGAAGCAAATCCATGTCGCCATCGGCTAATTTTGTCCGCCACCCTTCCGAAATTAAATTTTTTACACGTTTTAGTATGTAATCGTCTTTGTAGTGCTGTTGTAGCAATCCGACGTTGATAAGTGTGTCATAATTTTCTATTTGATAACAATGCTCCAACCTGTCGAACTCAGGATCTGGTCCACAAGGCAGGCGTGATAAGGCATCGGCATTTGAGTGATCGGCAGTTCTACGAAACTGTATCTCAAACTGATAAGACATCAATGTTATTGCCCAACGTTGCAACCGATGTGTAGACATTGATGGCAAATTTTTGTTTGGACTGAAGATGCTTACTAAAGGTTTATAGTCCGTAACCAGAATAAATTTATGACCAAATAAGTACTGATGGAAACGAGTAACTCCAAATATTATCGAAAGTGCCTCTTTTTCGATTTGGCTGTATCGAACTTGTAACGACACTTTTTTGGTGACGTTCAAAAATATTTAGTTTTTGCTGGGGTATCCTCAGCCGTCGTCCAGAGTCATTACAATGAATTTATTTTTTTCCGGGGACGTAGGTTTTAGAAAAAAAAAAGAAAAGGAAACGTTCGTTTACTAGATTGAATTGTATAGTTTATTTACTTTGAAAGACAATATTCCAAAAGAAATTATTCCAACGTATGATAAAGTTATTTCAATTACAATGTGATTATAAATAAATTTATAGTTTATTTACTTTGAAAGACAATATTCCAAAAATTATTCCAACGTATGATAAAGTTATTTCCATTACAATGTGATTATAAATAAATTTATAGTTTATTTACTTTGAAAGACAATATTCCAAAAATTATTCCAACGTATGATAAAGTTATTTCAATTAAAATGTGATTTTAATTCAATAAAATAAGAACAAGAAATGTGCCTCTTCTTTAGCTCAGGCTCCTGTTGTATTTCCTATCGTACTTGTCGATGAGATCTTCACTTGCAGTGGTTTCCCGAATTTCCTCCTCTGTT